ATAGAGGTGGCAATATTGTACACGACCTGTTAACATGACACAAATTCGCACGAAAAATTCAGTATTCGGGTATGAGTTATCGTGTCGTGTGGATATCGTGCTAACCCGTTAGCCACCCGTTAAGTTATCGTGTCATGTCATATCAATTCGCAAATACCCGTTAACCCGTTAAGTTTAGAGGATTTTTGTACATTTATCTCTTTCTTCTCTTTCGTCTTTTTCTCCTCAATTCCCCCGATTTTCTTTGCTTTTCTCTTTCTTCTTCTCTTTCGTCTTTTCCTCCACCATAATTATGAAGCAGCAAATTGTCATCAATCAAGAGCACCAATTTATGAGGAAGAAGAGGAACATACTCGGGAGGTTTCAAACCCAAGCTCTCAAAGAAAGGTTCAAACTCATTAATAGGGTGGTAGCGCTGATACCCTTATTCCATCTCTCTCTCTCTCTCTCTCTCTCTCCTCTCTCTCTCTCTCTCTCTCTCTCATCCTCTTCCAAATCCAGACACTGTAATTGTTTGAATTTTTTTTTGAACTAGTTGATTTTTTAATTGTTTACTATTTATGTTTTTATTTTTAATTCTTAATGGGTTATCATGTCGTGTTGTGTGATTTGCGAAGTGTAACGGGCCGTGTTCGTGTGTGACATTTCCAACTCGTTTGCTTATCGTGTCATGTGGCAACCCATTAAGAAAAGCGAGATGAAATGAACACGACACGAACACTGCAAACACGACACGAATGCTAGGTTTACTATGAAACATGGATCTCTCTCCAAGTCTCAATAAACCAATAGTACCCGACACATTTTTATTAGATTAACAAGAAAAAAAATGTACAATTGATAGAGAATGTAAAAGTAGTCATCCCAATAGTAGTATGGCGGATATGGATAAAACTTCCCAAGTGACCTTAGCTAGCAGAAGAACTGGAATGATCTAGAGAGAATCACTCTAAAAAATAACTTTTCTATAACCCATTTCTACTACCATAGTTTCCCTGAATCTTTTTACATCAAGGACAAAATCGGCCGCTAACCAGCTTGATTCTCCTAAAGAGACTACAAACACCCAACAAACTCAACCAAGTTTCTGGAATTATAAGATAAAAATAACTTAGAAAATTCATAGAGTTTTTGAACTTTATTGAACAAACTAGACCAAGACTAAAAAACTAAAACAACGTTGACAAAAGGAATATCCTAATTCTCCTTCAAAGCAATATAAATATGTCAAGCTAGCTAAAGAGAATACTATAGAGAGCCATAAGAAATAAATACAAGGAAATTTTATATCTTTTTAAACTTCAGTTAGTAGTAATAAGTCTCCAAAGTTGTAAAAATTAGTACCTTCTATTGAAAAAGTCATGAAGACTCTATTTTATATTTTAGTATAGAGGAGGGAGATTTCTCACACACACATAATTATGATGCCGTGGGAATTTGAACTTGATTTCTCTGGTCTACAAGTCAAGATCCTTTTTCATTGAGCTATACTCCATTGGCAGCCACGAAGACTTTAAACAGAGAAAGAAACTAATGTCTTACACGTAGATGAACTTGCCTCATGAGTTCATTTTCCTTAATAATAATAAATAAATAAATAAACTAAGATCTCATTGAAAATGCTCTTAACCAATTTCGGTAAATAACTGAAACATGAAAGGGCATTAGCATAAAAAGTAAATAAAACAAAAATTAATTAGGGAGATTCACTAATATACCCAATATGGGGGCCCAAATTATAAAAATACCCCATATGAAATGAACTTTATAAACACACCCAAAACTCATTTACAACATAACAAAGAGGCTTTAACTTCTTATAAATTACAAAACTATCATAAATTTCTTAAAACAAGCCCAACCCTAAAATCTCATAAAAATACCCAAAACACTCAATAGGGCATTAAAGTAATTTAATAATCAATATTAAATTCAATAAGGCCAGCTGTCATTTTTGGGGGTTGTTTTGGGTTTGTTTATAGAAATTCAATGATGGAGGGTTTATCTATAATATTAGTGCTAAGAATGGGTATATCACTAAATATCTCAATTAATTAATCACACGCAAGCGAACAGAAATTTAAAACTGAACTCTCAAAAGTTCTGACCCATCGCTCTTGTTTGTCCCGTGCTCTTCGAGTATTACTTAATTGTTAATTATAACCCAACGGCCAGCATCTCCCAAATATAATTTAATCATTATTAATAAAAGAATATAATTTAATCATTATTAATAAAAGAATATAATTAATCGTAATGTGTGAATATTTGATATACACCTATCTATTATATTATTAAGAGAATATTTTTATCAACCATTACATTTAAGCTTCAAATATACTCTTTTTTTTTTCTTTTTTTTTTCTTTTATACAAAGGCTTCAAATATACTCTTATTATTATAAATCAACTGCTGTCAACCAAATTAACACATCTTTTGCATATGTGGATTAGTCTAGTTGATTAAGGCAGTGTGTATACCTCTTTGCACTCGAATTTGATCCAATATACATTAAAGTAGTTTAAAATATTACTTTATAAACAAAAAAAACACATCTTTTAACTAAAGAAAACCAAATTAACACATCATTTGACCCCCCCCAAAAAAAAATTCAAATTAACAAATCCCTTGACAAAAAAAAGAAGAAGAAATAAAAACAAATTAACACACCCGACTTTCTTTTTAACTCCTATCATATTAAAATGCATACCTACTAGCGTGGGGAATCAATCTTGTCTTATTTAAGGTAATGAAAAAGGCTTTGACTTGCAGACCAGTAGTCTCATGTTTGAACTTCCATAGCATCTTGATAGTTTATGTGTGTGAGCCATCCCCTTATAATTTAGAGTATCACTTGTATTAAAAAAAAAAAAATTAAGGTCATGAAAGACTCTAGAATATTAAGATCTAATAAGTGTTGCCAAGCTATATTATATAAACGAGTTGCTCTCCAAGGTATTATCATCCTAATTTTTAATAAATAACCTTGTTCTGTTACCTATATTCGTCGTATTGCTAATGATGTGGCTCATCGTTTAACGCATTTTGCCTTGCATATCGGGGGTTCTCTATACTGGTTCAAGGAACCTCTTGATTTTATTTTTGATGTACTGTACAAAGATTGCAATTTGTGAGCAAGGACTTTCCTTTGCCCTTGATACGAGTTCAAACTTCTTGTATTACCTTTTCTACATCAATAGATAGTCTATCATTAAAAAAAAAAAAAAAAAAAAAAAAAAAAAAGAAAAGAGAGATAATTTTGTCAATTTCTGTAGAAAAAAAAAGTCATAAAACAATTTACAAACTAATATAGAGAGATGAATACTTGCTAGATTCATTCTTCCTTGTACCTTATTTCTTCTCCATTTTCATCTCTCTTTTGAATAAAATTAACCAAATCAAAAATCGTTTGGTCATCTAAATGTTATCAAATATAAAAAAAGAATGATCTCTAATTTAGTGTGTGTATATATATAGTAGAATAAACGATAGTAATTATTAATGAAAAAATACGAGTAAAAACAACTTTGGTGTCTAACAATGGTGGAACTAGGAATTTTTGTAGGGGTGGGTTAAACTGTTTTTTGGTCATGGCGGCAGATCTGCCTCGCCATCACTCATCTTGACTTGATCGTAAAACCTCAATACCCACAATCTAGACCAAGATGAAATCGACCCCAAAAGAACTGATTTCCCATGATTTTTTTTTGTCAACACCTGTGAATTCACGACAGCTCAAAGACTCGCGTACTGATAGTTTTCAACAAAGTTTATCTGAATAAATAAATAATCAAACCTATGATGTAAATTACATTATGTAATGGCTATCCACGCCCAAAGACCTTCCGTGCTGCTGATAGTGTACATAGAAAGAGAAAAAAGAGAAAAAAAAATTAACAGAGAAAGAAACTGAAAGAGAAGGAAATAATAGGAGAAAGGGTTGAGGAGATGAAGAAAAATTAAGAGAAAAAAGGAGAAACATTTTAAAAAAAAAAGGGTGAAAGAAAAGAGGAAAGTGTTAGAGTTTTATTTATTTATTATATAAGCTTGATAGATGTTAAGAGTTTAAAAAAATTATAATTTGGTTTCTTTTGTGCTGGAAACGTTGGCACAAATCATAAAATGCTTTCCCATTAAATCATGAACCAATGTGTTTAGAGTTTGTTTGCAAAGGTGTGTCTGTGGTGTATAGATTGGTTGCATTGATGGGCTTATTTCTACCTAAAGTGGTGGGCTAATATTTGATTTACCCTAGTTTGGCTTGTAAAACTAATCTTATATGCGGAAAATAGAAAAACAGAACTGGGCTGGAGCCTAGTAGAGCCTACACGTAGCTCCACCCTTGGTGTCTAATAATATGGGTAAATCTTCAGTGATCAAACACAACAACATTTTGAATTGATATGAAGATAATGACGCACAACTCAAATAATGGTGAACTAACGCACAAAGTGATCTATAATATATAATCTATCTCCCAATAAAACAAAACAAAAAAAAAAAAAAAAAAAAAAAAAAAAAAAAAAAAAAAACTTATCTTATGAGGCAAAAATCAAAAAAAAAAATCGTCTTCAAGTCCCATCCCAATTTTATTTTATCTTTTTTTATTGGTGAACGTATTATCTTTTACACATCACCCTACTATAACTTTTACTGGTGACTTTGACTAAATTTTTTTGATGAAAGCGACTTTGACTAAATTGGACGCGGAATCTCCGTGTGTATTTATTCAAATTTTAAAAAAAAATATAATTACGCCAATTGATCGAAGTAAATTTTAAAAAATGTCTTAAAGTTTGGAGATAAGATTTCCTAACTATAGAATAGGCGGCTAATAATAGAAACTGTATTTTAAATTTAAAATATTTTTGCACAATAAAGTCCAGAGCTCGACCGCATCATTCTTCTCTCCCCCATTGGCTTTTGAAATTTCAATTATAAACGCGCTTTTCAGAGAGAGAGGAGAGAGAAAGAGAAGAGAGAGAAAAATAGAGGGCGACATGGATTCGCCGTCGTCGACGACGCGGATCAGCGCGCGATCGTCGATGATCGATTCGTTCAAGAGCTGCACCCTATCGGGGATGACGATTGATAAGGAGGAGCTAAAGAAGAAGCTCTTGATGCCGCAGTACCTCCGGTTCGCCATGCGCGATTCCATACGGTTAAAGGACCCAAGCGCCGGAGAGAGCCGCCTTCCGGGAAGCCGAGACCTCGTCGCCACCGCCACCGCTGAAAATGACGACCAGACGCCGCCGGAGTCACCCATGGTTGTGTTTATAAATCCGCGGAGCGGCGGCAGGCATGGGCCTATGCTCAAGGAGAGGCTCCAAATGTTGATGGGTGAAGAACAGGTATTTTTTTCTTCTTCTCAAGTTTATTAAATTGACTTTGACTGACCCTTTGGATGTTTGTTTTATTCTTTGGTTTTCTGCCGACCCAATTGAATTTTTTTGGTTTTTCTGGTGACCTATTTGATAGTTTTTTTGTTTGTTTGTAGTGAACCATTATAAAGAATTTAATTTTCTGAGAAACCAGTAGTGGAAAAAAAGTTTTTTTTTTTCTTTCTATAATTTATGTCTGTGCATGGACTTACATTTTTGTGTATTTTTTCTTGCTTGCAGCTTAAGTACAGTTTAGGGGTTTTCATTTACGTAGAATAATTATTGGTGTTTTTTTCCTTTTACTTTTGTGTTATTATTATTATTTTTTTTCTGTGGAGAACTTTTCCTTTTGGGTTTTAATGGGTGAGTTTAAACTTCGGGATTTTACATAATGTATGGATGTATTGTGTTGTTAAGGCAGGCAAGGGATCTTCATTCAAAAGAAAGAAAGAAAAAAAAAAAAAAAAAAAAAAAAAAAAAAAAAAAAAAAAAAAAGAAATGAAAAAAGAGAAGGCAGGGAAACGAAGTGGTCTGGCACTGTTAGGCAATCGTAGCTGTCCTTATACACATTTCCATTATCAGCATTTTTAAACACTGAAATGGTACTGGCAAAGAAAAAAGAAAAAAGGAAACATTGAAATGAGAATGCTGGGTTCATGGGCTTTTAAAGTCCCATTGAAAGGAATAGGTTTAAGATTCCTAGAATCCCATTCCGCCAAACAAATATAAGCTAAAAGTTAGTGGTTTCTGTGTCCTGGAGTAGTAAAAGATCATGCCTGTTATGAAGCTTTTGTGTTAGCATGTGCTGCAAAAACACACGTGGAATTAAGATCATCTAGTCAAATGTATGTTTAGCTTGTGTATTTTGAAGTAGGCTGACCTTTTTCATCTGAATCAGTGTTTTTTAATTTTTTTTTCCCTTTCATATCTGTTTTCTTAGTCCTTTTTCTCTGTTTTCTATACAGGTTTTCTTCATATTTCTTTAATTTGTATAAGGGGTGGTTTGTTTGAATTGGAAATAATTTGTTATGCAGGTTTTTGACCTCTCAGATGTGAAGCCTCATGAATTCGTTCAGTATGGATTGGGTTGTCTAGAGTTATTGGCTGATGTTGGTGACATTTGTGCGAAAGAGTGTCGTCAAAAGATCAGGGTTCTGGTATGACATTGCGGCACATTTACTTAAAGCCCGTATCTCATAATTACTCTGAATTTTGGCGTCTAGTGGGATCCCTACAGTATTTACATATGATAAGCAATATATTGGAATGATTGTGCAGGTTGCGGGGGGTGATGGTACAGTCGGTTGGGTGTTAGGTTGCCTATCTGAACTAAACAGGCAGGGTCGGGAACCAGTTCCTCCAGTAGGAATTATTCCACTTGGCACAGGAAATGATCTGTCTAGGAGTTTTGGTTGGGTAAGCTGTCCTTTTGCAATGTATTTTGAGTTTGTGGAGATGTTCTTGCATTATTGAGCAATGGGTATGTATGTTCTCACCAGGGTGGTTCATTCCCTTTTGCCTGGAAATCAGCCATTAAAAAAACTCTATTCAGGGCTACTGCAGGTCCAATATGCCGTTTGGATAGGTAAGACTATTGGATAACAGTTTGTATATGTTTTCAAGTAGAAGGCTTGTAGAGTTAAGGCCTTTCTCTAATCTTTTCTAATTAATGATTGTGCCTAGCTAGCTACTTTAGAAATTGCGTGCAGCTAATGTACTGAAATTTAGTATGATTCAGGTCCTTTTTTCCCCTATAGGAGATTCAGTACCTATTTTTTTCCTATTGGAGATTTAGTACCTTTATTCTTGCACTGTGAATCTTTTTCCCTTTTTGAAAAAATTTACAACTCTTCAATATGTTCTTGAAATTTTAGTTCACTCAACTCTGCATTCACCTTTGTGCATGTGTGTCACTCTCATTTTCAGGGTCAGTTTTGTTAGCAAATTGATTGCATTTGAGATGTGAGTTCCTTTTTTATTTTTTATTTTTTATCCCTGTTGGGGAGGGGAGGGGACCAATGTTGTGGTTCCAACTGCCTGTTTGGTTTGTCCTACTTTTTTTTTTTTTTTTTTTTTTTTTTTTTTTTTTTTCTGTTTACTTCCCCCCACCCTCCTGAAAGAAAAATGTCTTACATAACAAACCTTTTGGCAAATGGAGATTTGGTATTATTTGGTGGTTGGTTTGGTTTTTTGGCATGTTATAGGCAAGCTTAATGTTGAGTTCACACCCTTACCAGTTTATATGCTATGTAGCCTATAGTTTTGTGGGTTTCTTTTATACAAATAATTTGGGATGAGGCCCCATTGTGATATAAACAACTCTGTTTGTAGTAGCAGTAACACTACTTATATATGGTTTTGGTTCAACTAACAGTGACATTAATATTTGTTTTTATTTATTTATGGTGCAGTTGGCATATTGTGTTGTCAATGCCAGCTGGTACAGTTATGGATCCACCTCATTCTCTGAAGTCTACCGAAGAGTGCACTCTTGATGAGGTTGTAAATCTGGCTACTTTGCATTCAAACATTTGCATTGCTTAGCTACTCTTACTGGGTTTACCTTCTGAATGTTAAATTTCTAGAAATATGAGTTTTCATTCAGGTGTCAAATACTGTGCAATTAATATTCTGGTTTGTGTCTTACTCTTCTGGGTAAACATTAATGTTTATATTGCTCAACTCTCTGGATCTGATGGTGTTATCTCTGGTAAATAAGACAATCTCTTGAAAACTAAATAAAACTATATCTTGTATTGTAAAGCAGTAGTGACTTTTTTGACGAATGAATATTACATGTTGCTGACAGGGTTGTTTCCTTGACATCTCGGTCTACACATTTCCTTTCTTTTCCTCATTTAATACACAAGTTAATAATTCTCTGCACTTATTCCATCAAAAAATAATTCTCTGCAATTACCACAACCCTTTTTGTACTCCCCAAAGTTATTCTAGTTACTTAATTTCTGACATTGATAGCCTATCAGAATCACCCACATGACATGCCTGGGCAAGATTGCATTTGCATTTTCCCGCTTATTATGTGAGCATTGGAAGCCCATCCCCTAAATCCTGTCCTGTATTTGGCTAAAATTGCATTTAGATTTTCCTTACATGTATGTTGAAGGACTTTTGTATGTATTGTCTTGCTTTAATTTATTTTCTTTAATTTTCTTTGAAGGGGCTTTCTTTTTTCCAATTTCAAATCATATGCAATGCCTTTCTCCCTACTGTTTTCTGTATCTATAAAAGGTAGTTCTGATAATTTTGACATTCTTTTTGGATACTTGTAGTGTGTCCTTCGAGAATGAACTATTCAGTGGCTAGTGAGTTAGAGCTCAAAAAGTGATGAAAAAGAGTGGTTTGGGAAAATAGATGAAATATTTAAGGAATCATTGATTACATTATATTGTTGATGAAGTTTATTTGCTTTTTTTTACTGTGAACGAAAGTTTTGGTTTTGCGTTTTTTTTTTTTTTGGTCTTTTTTTCATATATCGTATACGTTATGTTTGGCACTTTTTACTCACTGCAGGGTTTGGAAATTCAAGGGGATTTGCCTGGCAATTTGTCATGAAGGAGTATTTTACAATTACTTTAGTATAGGTATGTTGACATCATTGGTAGATTGTCTCTATTTATTGATGTTGACATCATTGGTAGATTGTCTCTATTTATTGATGCATCTATGGTTTTTACATGGTGTTAGATGGTAAGATAGTGGTACATGGCCATGGTTTGTCTTACAAGCTTCTATACTGGAAAAGTATGTTTAATAGGTTATTTTTTATGAGGAATTGCCCTTTACGCAAGCCGTTTTTGTTATTTGGTCATACAGGAATGGATGCACAAGTTGCTTATGGATTCCACCATTTACGAAACGAAAAACCCTATCTTGCACAAGGTCCAATTTCAAATAAGGTTTGACTGAATCTCTTTTTACCTTTATATATGATTGGATTTTCCTTTGGGGCATGGTTTTATCAGTGATTTCATTTGCACGGTATTGTTCAGATATTGGAGTAGAGAACACTGTCCATTTGAGTGCATTCATTAAATTTTTTTCCATCTTGAACACTAAAATTTTATAAAGAAGAGAACATATTTTAAACACTTGTATGAAATTATTTTTTATTTTAATTTCTGCATTTATACAAGCACTGGAAATCCTATAAATTTTATCACATTTTCATTATGTTTCATCTACAATCATGTCTTAGTATGATGAACCATAAAATCTAAGCTATTTTCTGTTAATGAAATGTAATGGCTTTAGGTGATAAAGAACTAACTTTAATTGTGGCTGATCCATCTTTCTTGCAGTTGGTTTACTCTGGTTATAGTTGCACTCAAGGTTGGTTCTTCACACCTTGCACAAGTGATCCAGGTTTAAGGTTTGATATCTCCCAGCTGAAGCAGTGTTCTAATTATTGTAATGGTGGCTCTCCATGTTACTTTGATTTGACTGTAATTGTTTTAAGATTTTCTAATATGAATTAGGAAAATTGGACTTTTAAGAATACAAAACTTCCATTCTAGAAGTTGTCCCTGGTTGAGAAGAATTCCCCTTTGAGTTTGTGTGGGAGTAGAAGCGAAATGGCCTCTTAATGGTTTTGCTTGATCTATAACTCACTCCTTTCTAATGTACCCTTCAAGTTTTTATGGCCAAATGAGAGTTGTGTGTTACGTGACTCAGTGATTCTAGACAAATTTTACATTTATATCGGGAGGGTAATTGTTACATATGTAAAATTGGCAAAGACTTGTAATATTCCCCGTCTCTTCGTCCCTTTGCTGATGTGTATCCAATAATTTTTCTGGTTGCAGGGGGCTAACGAACATCCTAAGGATGCATGTCAAAAAGGTTAATTGTTCAGAATGGGAGCAGATTCCGGTGCCATCAAGGTACACTTTTGTTTTGGGGTACAATTCTGGCAACATTATTTTTTAGGCTTTCTATCACAAATGGTCTCTGAGGTTTACGAAATTATCATCTTTCGTCCCTAATGTTTTTTTGTGATACTAATGGTCCTTAAGGTTACCCTCCACGCATCAAAATGGTCCCTGCCATTAGCTTTCGTCAAATTTTCTGTTAAATTGATGACGTGGCACATGTGTGGAGCTCACACATCCAATGATATAAAGACACGTGGCTTTAAATAGAATATAATATATTTTAAATATTTTTAAAACTTAAAATCCATAAAAAAATAAATTAAAAGCTAAATTTTATATATATATATATATGTTTTTAAATATCTTTCATGCTCTGTTCAAATCGAATGTGAGAGGGAGGGAGAGAGAGGAGTGGGTCTGCAAGAGGAGGAGGGAAAGAGAACACAGGGAGAAGGAGAGAGAAAGATATTTAAAAATATATAAAAAGATTTAAGTTGCTTTTAATTCATTTTTTAAATGAATTTTAAGTTTTAAAAATATATTATATTATATTTAAAGCCACGTGGCTTTATACCATTGGATGTGTGGGCTCCACACGTGTCACGCCAGCAATTTAACAGAAAATTTGACGGAAGCTAACAGCAGGGACCATTTTGATGTGTGGAGGCTAACCTTGAGGACCATTAGTGTCACAAAAAAAGGCTAGGGACGAACGGTGATAATTTCGCAAACCTCAGGGACCATTTGGGATAAAAACGTCTATTTTTTATTTGCATGCTTAGCTCTTGGTGGTTTTTTTAATTTTTTAATTTAATAAAAATTTGCTTCTCTTTCTTACTTTCTTATTCTTTTTAATACAAGTTTATCACGTAGCCAGTCAAGTATAAACTATGTATCATATCCTTGTCATCTATTTCTGACTACATGGGTATATCCGTTCCTTTGGTTTTTATTTTTATTTTTCTGAACGTAAAATAATTTACACTACAATGCTGCAAGACATGGGAGTACTTGTAAAGCACAAGATTTTCCCTTTGGTTGTATTTGTTTATTTCATAATAGCTTATATTGTTATTTCATCTTCTTTCAGCGTAAGGGCTATTGTTGTTCTAAATCTTCATAGCTACGGGAGTGGAAGAAATCCATGGGGTAATCTGAAACCAGAGTACTTGGAAAAGGTATTATATGGTTTTTACTGAAATAATGTGGTGTTGCCTATCAGTATTTTGAAGGATAAGTTTTGTGTTATGTTTTTAGGTGACACAGAAAAGTGCTGACTCAAACATATTTATTTATTTATTGTTTTTACGATTCTTCAAGGATAGGAAGTTTACTTTTGCAAGTTCGAGTTGCCTTGTTGCCTTTTGTTTATGCCTGGAAGTAGGTCCTGAAGTTTTAGTTGATATTTATATATGAATCGTTTTGTCTTTGTTAGATTTTTTTTTCTCACGTACAACTCTACGCCAAAGTTATTTAGTAGAGTTCAAAGTTTTGATGATTATGCAAATTTTATTCAGTGTGCTCATTTAAATCATGCTTAACAGAGAAGCTAATAATGGGTAGCTTAAATTTTATTGTTTCAGAGAGGCTTTGTGGAGGCCCATGCTGATGATGGTCTTTTAGAAATTTTTGGCCTTAAACAAGGATGGCATGCTTCTTTTGTTATGGTTGAACTCATCTCTGCCAAACATATTGCTCAGGTACCGCAACAGTGTCTATCTCCATGCTATTATTAGGTCAAGTTTTTACTCGGCATGCAAAAGTAAGGGTGTTTTAGAATATATTTTTTATGAGAGACAATTTTATTTAAGAGCCAAAATCACAATTCAAAACTTAGTGAACCAGAAGTCCACCATAAAAAAGAAACAACCCTAAAGAACAAATCAAAATGCACCTCTTACAGTTTAATACAAGTCTAAAAACTATCCTACAGCAGCTCCCCAACCTAATAAAATTACAGAAAATGTAATGCTTTTTAGAATATTGATAATATCAGGATCTTATTGTAAAATACCTCAATTTTCAGGATGCATTTTTGAACTCTTGAATAATGGCATTTGTTTTTAGTGACAGCACTATTAATAAGCTGGATGACCTGTTGATGAAGTGGCTACTCTATTAGTTCCCTGCTCTCTATCCAATTCCTCATACAGTCTGCCCCCGGCCTGCTTGTCCTAAACTCACTCAATAATATTTTTTAATAATTAAATTTTCTTATACCTGAAGCATTCATAGGTGAGACATGAAAATTTAGTAGAATATACCCCTCTGCTGCTGGAAAATTTTGATATGGTCTCGTAAACTTTCTTAAGACACGATTCAGAAGAAAGCTGTCTATCTCATCTTGTACATACATATGGAATGCTTACAAAAGAAAAGAATATCTGAGTGTTCATTTTGGAATGTTCTGTTCCCTCTGGGCCTGGGCTAAATCAGTATTGCTAGTCACACGTTTTTAAAAGAATTAGAAATTTCCTTTTAGGTTCATGTTTTTTAGGGTATGATTGTTTAGATATTGTAGCAACACTGAATGCTGAGATGCAGTGCGGGACATGTTGGATGGATAATCCTTGTCCGTTTCACGTTTTGTGTTGTAAAGGACATAGAAGTTGGGCCCAAAACATGTATGGCTTCAATTTTTTGTCAGTTCAGTCTGAAAATAGGATTTTTGTGTATTCGTTTTGCCTGTTCGTTTGTCTAGAGAGCTTGCCATTGTTGATTTTTTAAGGTCTGTGCATGCATTGTTATTTGATCTGCTGGAAATTTAGTGCTCATGTATTGAACAAGTTACACTGGTATTAGGCTGCTGCAATTCGGTTGGAAGTTAGAGGTGGGGAGTGGAGAAATGCATATATGCAGATGGATGGGGAACCATGGAAGCAGCCAATGCACGAGGAGTTTTCCACGCTAGTGGAAATTAAGAGGGTTCCGTTTCAGTCATTGATGATCCATGGAGACAATCACTGAGATGATGAATGAAGACTAACATTACTAAGTTGGCCTTCCTACTCTGGTTTGATTCCTCCTTTATTGCTGTCTTTCCTTACGGCTGTGAAGTATGTAAAGTGCGCTATCACCCGAAGGCTTGTAAATTGTAATTATGTGCCTATACTTGTTTGTATTGTATTTGGCAATTTATTCAAGTCGTGTCAGTCAAAATCTCCATGATTTTCTCCTTTTGAGCTGTAACAACTAGCTTACATTAGTGAGGTAACGCTTTCCAGATTTATTAGCAATTAAGCTGAAAAAGTCTCATATGTAGAGTTCGAATGATGATAATATTATTAGCTGTGCTGATTAATTGAATGGTCTTAAATATATATCTTTTCTTTCTAATTGCAGGTTCTTTCTAATTCTAATCGTCCTAATTCTCAACCTTTTACTCTATGACTTGGTACAATGATCCCATACCACAATTTTATTGTTATTTTTTAAATTTATTTAATTTATTGAGAATATGCCCTTTCTACTTATTTGTTCTCCAAAATAAGGTTGAAATTTGGAAAGCAAGGAATTAATTTGATCTGAACTACTTACAAAAGATTGATTACTTAGAGCTAGCCATTTTAACTTTTAGTTAGCTTGCTCTGCAGGTGATTGATGCGGAGGTCTGAACTGATGGCTTGCTTCCCAAGCTAGGTCTTTAGGTTTCACCTTTTTTAATATTTCATCGAATTCATTTGCCCATGTGAACTAAAACGCTGATAAACTAAAACTGTTATTAGTTTCTCTTTTTTCGACATTTGTTTAGGGAGTTGTTATTGGAACTTGGCAACCTTTTTCTTGTTGCTTTTTAGTTTTCATGTTTTTTCTAGACATAGAGGAAATATGGATGAAGAAAGATGGTGGGAGGGCAGGAAATGTGCATGGAATGCTATATAACATGAAAATTAAAACCAAACCTAATCAATTATTTTTGTTTCTTCATTTTCAATCTCACTTCCATAGGTGGAAGTCACACTTACACCTTTATTTTAATCTCACTTTCATGGGGGAGTGGTTATTAGGACTTGTAAGCAAGGCGTAGGCGTGCATAATGATTATTTTGGAGTGCAATAATAGCTTCCGTTGTCAAAAGATATGGTGCCGAACTGTCTGCAAAATGACATACTGATCTAATATCATATGAGTCTTAGATTCGAGGTGACAATCGTAATTGAATAAATCAATTAGATCAACAAATAATTGAAGAAAAATAAAATCCTAACGTTCATTATGTGAAGTATATTTTCTTAAACAGAACTATAGTAGGTAGAGCACATTTATCAGAAATCATGCACAACTATAGGAGAAGCGCCCAAAATCCATAGAATGTATAGGCATATCTTCTTCGTCGTCTATGGTGACATTGTGCAATCCCTGGTTGGAAGACATTGCATTGCTCAGCATGTTGTCCCTAGCATCTGGTGAAGCAGCATCAGCTCTAGCATTTGTTGCAGAAGCAGCATGTACATGAGTTGCTTGACTGGTTTGCTCTAAAGCAAACAGAGTGCTGTCTTTTCGGTCAAAACACTTCGCCAATTTTGACAAGAGGGAGGCTTCTGGATGGATGGAATTCAAAGCAGGCCAGTATTTGTGGAGGAAACAAACTATATAAATCAAGCATGAAGAAATCGAAATCACTGCTGTGATGATGAAGAGGCCTCCGAAAGTGTACACTTAGACTAGAATGTCTGAAGAGAATGTGGAACTTGCGTCATGACATTTGGTTTCATCTGGAAAATAATTGAGTTGCATTTTTTCCATTTCCTTATAATCTTGAGTCACATTCAGGATTGCCCTTGAAACATGAGCAACAAGTGGGGAGCCTTGTGGGAAGGCCTGAAATCGAAAAGGAAAAAAAGAAGAAGAAAATTAATTTCCTCACGTTTGTTTGTTATGAATAATATTTGCACCATGACAATGTACAATATCAACACAGAAAACATAAGCATGAGTTCTGGATTCAAACAACACAGGCAAACGTACGCACACACATGCCTGAGCATTGTACATTATGAAAACAAGTGTATATCATGCATCCAAAGGATAAAGAGACTCACAAAGCCAAATCCATCAGTTCTGTAGGTTGGTCCAACCACAATTTATCTTGAGCAGTAATTGGCGAGGAAGAACTTTACGTAGGGAATTTCATCAAAGATAGCATCAACCCCTCCATTTTTGCTTCCTTTGGACAATGCTTCATGATATTCCTTTGAGGAAGCATAAGCCTTCAGCTTTGTTTTCTCAAATTCTAACTGGCACAACAGGTCACTTACAAAGGAATCCTTGGGGTATCCAACATACTTACCAGTTTGTCTGAGCTCATTCACATCAACAACTGCTGGATACAACTTATCTCCAGTCAACAATGAGGCTAAGCTAGCAGTGTAACTCTGTGTCAAGATGAGAACCACAAAAATCCATATGATCAGCACAAATCTGGTCCAGTTGCTCACCACCTTCTCCTCTAGATACACAAATATATCATGCAAGTTAATGCAAATTGTTAGAAATTAATAATGACAGTAAAATCCCTAAAAATATTAATAAAACAGAAGTATTACAATGTGAATCAAATTAAACAAAGATTTAATATAGTTAGCTTTATATAATGTGAGGTTTAGAGAACTCCAACATCTTGATAATGGAAAATTACTGCAATAAGAAATGTGAACAGTAATATGATAAATGTTTGTGGTATATCTAACACTACTCTACCACATGCACGTACAATTTGCAGGTAATTAAGACTTACCATGTGCAAATACAAGAGTGGAAAAAGAGAACCAAAGAGTTGTGGCAAGTTGTTGCTTTCGTGAACCATCTCCAAATTCTGTGTTTATGCGATGTTCAAGAATCCATATTACAATGCCTGTAAAGATGAAGGCGCCGGCTGATGTCAACCAAAGAGGCTTTAAGAAAATCCAAATATTCTTTCTTTCGTTATCTTTAACTTTCACCACCATCCGAATGCCCGATTCAAAATAAGGTAATGTAAAATCAACGTAGGACGTCCTATTGCCAACAATTGTTGTATCTCCCACTACAGCATCAAATTTCTGCACTTTCATCCAAAAACATGTGTGTAGAAAGTGAGATCATAAGTATCATCTAATTATAGATATAAAAGAAAAAAATATTAAGTGAAAACTGAAAACAATCAAAGAGTTTATAAAAACGAAAAGTTTATCTCTTTTTCAAAAGCAAGTGTTGTATAAAAAGTTTCAAGAATAAGCAAAACTTGAGGTAGATACTCTGTCTTTTGCTTTGGGGTGTAGGCGTTGGTTTGGTGCATATATATGGTATAATGCAACCAAGTTTTGGTTCTTTTTGTGTTTAAAAAGATTTGTATATTGAAAACTAAAAAATAAAAGAGAGTTAAAAGATTAGACAACAACGTACCTTCCGCTTAATCTGGTAAAGAAGCTCATCCTAAGTCCCAGCAGCTTCTTTTGTTGAATTATTCATGTACGGAATAAATTCATATAAAACTGCAAATGGCATCCGTTTTAAGACCTCCCGAAAGACATCGATTGAGAACCCTGAGATCTTAGGCTCATTGGTATGACGAGACCAGTCTACGTTCACAAAATCTTTGAAAGACGTGACAGGTACCCCAATCCTCAACTTTTTGCAGTAACAGGTATAACCCAACCTTGGTGGAGTACTTGTGTTTCCAGGCCAGATAGTGCTGCATTAGAAATTTGAACTAAATCTTGAAATGCTTCTTTGTTCGGAGTCCAACAATATCGAATAACTGTCTCGTTTTTACGGACCACATTGATTATGTCATAGGCCGCAGGTTGCAAGTGTCCATTAATCAATTGGAATTTCCCACTTAGGCCTTGAAAACTGGTAGGCAGCAAAGCTTGGAGAAGCCTTGGACCTGCTTTAGAGACAGTTATGCCAAACATTTCATCTGTGTTTTTGCTATCAGTCTTGTGCTTTAAAACATCACTAGAATAATTCACCTCCAGTCCAACCAATTCTACAGCCTTAGCTAAAGCCCAGATTGTATCATAAGCCCATAAACCAAACAGGTTAATCTCAGAAGTGCTTTGCATTTTCTTGCCAATATTGGGCAATTTCCTCCTTTTCCACCTCAGCTTGAAATCTTCAAGATCTTTTGAGGTTGGTACATCTTTAATCCAATATACGGTATGAATTGCTAAATTCTTTTATTTTTGGTTGTTCACTCATATCCTTTTATTTTGATTGATGTTAAGTGCTATTATCTTTTCATGAGTTCAATTATATTTTTCTCATTGTTAAGAATTGACTTGGCATGCTTTTAAATTAAAAGAGTAGATATTAAGCAACTCCACTTTCTGAACAATCATTAATAAAAGATTACATTGAAAAATTAAATTGGTTTTAATTTCTTTATCTTCCGGTTAAAGTTTCTCAATGATGATTTTAATCGAGTTATAATTTGGATTAAAGAGCATGAAACATATTTTGTTTAAAGAATTGAACCTTGATGCCTCAACATTTCCATTATTGATATTTCATTTTTAAACTCAATTTTCCACAACAATCAAATCAAATTACTTTTCCATTTTACTTGTCACTTTTATTGTGGTACGTTTAATTATTTCTTTGTGTGCAGATATTTGCCTACCTGCTCCTTGAGGATACGATACTTGGACTTCCAAGATTATTACTACGTGTGACTACTTGCACTTGGGTAGACGCAACAAGTTTTTGGCGCCGTTGCCGGGGAGCGGTGAAACGGAAAGTAGCACAAGGAAATTCATTGTTAAGGTTTGCGGTTTTAGTTTCCAAAGCTAATTCGGTAAGGCTTATCAAACTCAATTTTTCATTTCTTTTTTGTTTTTTTTTGTTGTTGTTGTTTTTTGTTTGTTTTTGTCTTAGTTTTTTTTTAATATTAAAAAAAAATAGTTTAGATTTTATTTATTTATTTGTTACTTCTTTATTTTGTTTATGAGATATCGTGATCGGTTTGGTAGATTTGCAAAGAAACCTCAATTGACCAAATTTCATCACAAATGGCTGAGAATAATAATAATAATAATAATGCATTGGAAGGCCCCCAAAATGATGAAGATAATCATAGTGTTCATAATGATGAGAATCCACTTGTTAGGACATTACATGATTATTTGCATCCTGCTCGTACAAGTGTGCCATCTTGCATCATTTTTCCGTTGAATGGTCAAACTTTTGATTTTAAACCGGGCATGATACAACTTTTACCAACTTTTCATGGAATGGAATCTGAAAATCCATATTCACATGTGCGTGAGTTTGAGGAAGTTTGTGGAACTTTTCCAACACAAGGGTGTAGGCTTGATACAGTTTTGCTAAAACTTTTTCCATTTTCACTGAAAGATAAAGCGAAAACTTGGCTTTATTCTCTAAGGCCAAGAACAATTGGAACATGGCTTGAAATGCAAACTGAATTTTTCAAGAAATTTTTCCCAATTCAAAAGACAAATTCTTTGAAAAGACAGATGACCACATTTTCTCAAAAAGATACTGAGTCTTTACCTCAAGCTTGGGAAAGATTTAAAGATTTGTTAATGTTATGTCCTCACCATGGTTTTGAAAGATGGAGGGTGGTAAGTCATTTTATGATGGTTTAACACCTAAAGATCGACAATTTATTGAGATGATGTGCAATGGAAATTTTATGTATAAAGATCCTGAAGATGCTTTTGATTTTCTTGATGAAATTGCAGAGAAATCTCAGATTTGGAGCACTCCCAACACATTTGAGCCTAATTCCCAAAAGGCAAAATCTTCCATTAATCCTTCTAGCGGCGGTATTTATCACCTTAAGGAGGAAGATAGTCTCAAAGCTCAATTGGCAACAATGGCTAGGGAAGTTGAAACTCTAAAATCAAAATTGCCTCAAAAAGTTAATTCAATTGCAAGTCAAGAAATTTTGAGATTTGTGAAGTTTGCGGGGTCATGGGACATGTAACAAAAGAGTGTCCAACACTTCCAGCTTTCAGAGAAATGTTGCATGATCAAGCAAACTTTGTGAATCAATTTAAAAAACCATCCACTTTTTCTGAAACTTATAATCCAGGATGGAGAAACCACCCAAATTTCAGTTGGAGAAATAATACTAATAATAATGTGCCTCAACAAAAATCTAATTCTTTTTATTATTCTCCACAGGTGGAAGGACAATCATCGTCATCAAATTTGGAAGATGTTATGAAGCAATTCATACAAAGCCAAACTGCCACAAATCAAAAGAATGCACAAGACATTGGTGAGATTAAGAGCACTCTTTCCAAACTCACTTCTTCACTGTCAATTCAAGAAAAGGGTAAATTTCCTTCTCAAGTCCAACCTAATCCACATGCACAGTTAGAGGTAAATACCCCTTCTTCTTCTTCTTCTTTGAATGAAAATAAGCATGAATATGTGAAGGCTGTCACTACTCTTCGTAGTGGAAAAATAATTGGGAAAGATGATTTAGTAACAGTTGAAAATAAAAAGAATTCAGAAAAATCCAAAAATAATGAAAAAGAAAATAATGATTCTGAAATTGTTAAGTGCCCTTTTCCTGCTCCATTCCCACAAGCACTTAAGGTTGGAAAGAAAAATCAAAATCCTGAAATTTTGGAGGTTTTTAAACAAGTGAAAATCAATATACCTCTTTTGGATGCTATAAAACAAATTCCTTCATATTCAAAATTTTTAAAGGATTTATGCACTATCAAAAGAAAGCACAATGTTGATAAGACCGCATTTTTAACTGAAAATGTAAGTGCAATTCTTCAAACTAATACTCCACCCAAGTACAAAGATCCAGGTTGTCCCACAATTTCTTGTATTATTGGAAATTTTATCATTGAACAAGCTTTATTGGATTTGGGTGCTAGTGTTAATTTGTTGCCTTACTCGGTTTATAAGCAATTGGGTCTTGGTGAATTAAAACCCACCTCAATAACATTGCAATTGGCTGACCGTTCAGTCAAAATCCCAAGAGGTATGGTGGAAGATGTGCTGGTTCAGGTAGACAAATTTTATTTTCCAGTTGATTTTATAGTTTTGGATACTGAACCAGTTGTGTATTCTAATTCTCAAATTCCTGTTATTCTTGGAAGACCATTTCTTGCTACATCTAATGCTCATATAAATTGCAGGAATGGACTTATGCAACTATCATTTGGGAACATGACATTGGAGCTCAACATATTCAACATATGCAAGCAGCCAGCAAACAATGAAGATGACAAAGAAGTTTACATGATCGAGACGATTGTTCAAAATTGCTTTAATTCTTCTTTTCCTTCTGATCCATTGCAAATTTGTTTAGTAAATGGGGATTGTAATTTTGCACAAGATTTTGAAGTACAATATCTTTGTTCTTTGTTGGATTCTGCGCAGGTACAAGAACATAATGGTTGGATACCAAAATATGAGGAGCTGCCAACTGTGAGTGATGAGACAAAATCATCAAGAGAAGAAGCCCCAAAGTGTGAATTGAAGCCTCTTCCTGCTGGACTTAAATATGCTTTTCTGGGAGAAGATGAGACCTATCCTGTGGTAATATCTTCTAAACTAGAGCTTTTGCATGAAGGTATGTTACTTAAAGTTTTGAAAGATCATAGGACTGCTATTGGATGGACTTTATCTGATATTAAAGGTATTAGTCCTTTGGTTTGCACACACAAAATTTTTCTTGAAGAAGATGCTAAACCAGTTAGGCAGGCTCAGCGTAGACTTAACCCAACAATGAAAGAAGTCGTGCAAAAAGAAGTACTTAAACTTTGGGATGCAGGTATCATATATCCAATTTCTAATAGCAAATGGGTAAGTCCTACACAGGTTGTTCCTAAAAAATCAGGAGTTTCAACTTTTTGAGGCAATTTTTGAGGCAACAAGTTGCGTCTACCCAAGTGCAAGTAGTCACACGTAGTAATAATCTTGGAAGTCCAAGTATCGTATCCTCAAGGAGCAGGTAGGCAAATATCTGCACACAAAGAAATAATTAACCACAATAAAAGTGACAAGTAAAATGGAAAAGTAATTTGATTTGATTGTTGTGGAAAATTGAGTTTAAAAATGAAATATCAATAATGGAAATACTGAGGCATCAAGGTTCAATTCTTTAAACAAAATATGTTTCATGCTCTTTAATCCAAATTATAACTCGATTAAAATCATCATTGAGAAACTTTAACCGGAAGATAAAGAAATTAAAACCAATTTAATTTTTCAATGTAATCTTTTATTAATGATTGTTCAGAAAGTGGAGTTGCTTAATATCTACTCTTTTAATTTAAAAGCATGCCAAGTCAGTTCTTAACAATGAGAAAAATATAATTGAACTCATGAAAAGATAATAGCACTTAACATCAATCAAAATAAAAGGATATGAAAATATTGAACAACAAAAAATAAAAGAATTTAGCAATTCATACCGTATATTGGATTAAAGAACAATTCACAAACTTACCCAAAGAACATTCCCTTTAGCCTTAGCTAGAGTTCTAGCAACTCATTACAAAGGAAAACATAAACTAAATGGATAAAGAAATCTGTCGTAGGGGTGCCCTTGCCAAATAAGTTGATGGGTGATTTATAGTAGTCAATGAGGTGAGTGGGAAGTTAATACATTCATGGTGGGTGATGAAGGGTTTAATTGAGGGATTAATTGGATTAAACATGTGTTGATGGTGAAGAGTTAGTGGAAAAGAAATAACGGTGAGGTAAGTGGGCGTTAAATGGCTATGAATGACATAAATAGGCTCTTTAGCTTCAACGGTTTTGTCTTCTCTTCTCCCTCTTTACTTCTCTTTATAATCACAATAATCCCACAATCAATTCTTCAATTAAATCTGCTAGCAATTCTCTTCACACCTAGCTTGAACTTGGACAAATGTATGTCTTCATCTTTTGGCTTTCCAACTTCCTACAGAAGATAAATTCACCTAATAAGTTCACCAAATTAATATAGAAAATTCATAAATCCAGTTGGTGAGAATAAAATGTAACAACAAGTGAAATTATATTCATTAAGCCAAAATTATATCATAAAGTCTCCAAAATAATAGTAAAAATATGTAATTTGAGACTCTCATCAGTACATAGGGCCTCACACCCAGCACACCTTCCATTGAACCAGTGACTTTTGCCTCCTCCATCTTTGGATGCAATAATGTCGATAACCCAGCAGTTGTGATCCATGCATACCCTTTACTCATTATGCCAGCTTCTTTTGCATGAACAAAGACTTTTGATCCAAGTGAAGCAGTCATGTGGACCAAGAATATCCTTGTCTCCATTCCCATTAACTTGGTAAGCTCTTTCAAAATTTGATAGGGACTCGATGATGGAGACATGACACTTCTGTAAGGACCCTTGTATCGATCTGTTCAAAAGCATCTGTTATGTAGGGAATCAAACCATTGCCGTATTCGGTGTCTTCGTAGATTACGACAACTCGCGCCACCCGTATGCCTTAACAATGGAAGTGATGGCTTTTACCTGAGATCTGTCAATCTAGGGCCGTCCTAATGAAGAAACGACTTTGGGTTTGAGATAGAGGACTTGTAGCTGAAAATGAAATAATGGGAATTTGAGCTTTCTCCCCAAGATTTATCACAAACTTGGCTTGGTTTGAGTTTTGGGGCCCTATAATAGCTTGCACTTGTTCGTTGTTCATCAATTCTAAAGCTGCAAAAATCATATATACAAAAATATTAATAGCAATTTGTAGACCAAAATTCGTTGGGAATTGTTAATGACCCTTTGGTCGTGGAGAAGATCTAGAGTTCAAATCTCATGATAAAAAGTTGTTGAATTGATTAGATAAGTAAAAATTTCATTGCGAATTATAAAAATATGATACATCATTGTTTCAAGGAATTGTAAAATTAAATCTACTAATTACTCTAGTTAATTATTTGGTTCTTTTACTAGTACTACATATTATGGTTTCACAGAAAAGAGCTGAAAGTTGAACACATGGTGTAAAGTCCTATATTATATGTAAGATATTTCTAATAAGGTATTTTGGTTGTGCCTATTCTTGCGAGGCTCCTCTTTGAGGTGTTGCGGCTTGGTCGTGGTAGATCCATGCTTGCTAGTGCGTTGAGGCCTTGGAGTAACTAGATGACGCTCCCTTTGTCATGTTCTAAAGGACGATTAGGTGGTTGCTTTTCCTTTTGCCGGTGTTGTTTTAGGTTTTTAAATTGAATTTAGTATGTTCAATAAATTCTAGAAACTCTATGAGTTTTATGTGTTTATTTTCCCTCATGATTCTAGAAACTTTTAGTTGAGTTTGCTGGGTGTTCTTAGTCTTTCTGGGAGAGTCATGCCTATCAACGGCTAGTTTTGGTTCTCATTGGACTAGATTTGGGGAAATTATGGCGGTTAAAAGGGGTTATAGAAAAGTTATTTTCGAGAGTGGGAAACTATAGAAAAGATAAAAACTATTCCTAACAGAACAGGTAATATAATATTTACAAGAATCCTTATATTAATTTCCTACCTAAAATAGGACTCACGCCAACACTCCCCTTTAAGTTGGCTAGGAGTAGTACGAGTCTTCAAATTTGTTGGGTCAAATGTCTTGTGATTTGAAGCACCTAAATCAATAATCCAACCAGAACCAATACCTAAGCCAGCAAAAGCACTACTTGAGGTATTAGAAGAAGTGCCTGAATCACTTGTAGGGAGGGCGGCAATACCTGGAGGAACAGTGGAGGAGGAGACGGATGACATAGGGGAAGCTTGTGGGACATAAGGGTTTGGAGATCCTATGTAGAGTGCGACCTTGCCTTGTGCGTATCGTTCAGCTGCTGCTTTGGCCTTGTTACGCTCCTTGACTTCATCCCACTATTCTGGATAGCCATGTAATTTAAAGCAATCAGTTACGAAGTGATTCGTGTTGTTGCAATGAGTACACCTTTCGCCATTCTGAGGTTTAACTCGTTGCGGACCACTGGGTCTTGTAGAACCTGTAGGTCTGTTAGCTGATATTTTGTTGAGTGTTTGGTTGACACAGTAAAAGCGCTTTTAAAAGTACTTTAAAAAAATTTAAAGAATCCCAAAATATTAAACATAGGAAATAAAAATTCAAATGATCCCAAAATAAAAACATGACTTAAAAAGTATGAACTTCACCAAGTATAATTTGTAATCATTTTTTTAAAATAAAAAAGAAATTAACTAGACATAAGAAGATTTGCAATTCTCTCGCATCCGTCAGCCATCTCACGCACCTGGGTTAGATTTTGTTCTTTAACCATCTCTTCCCCTATCGTAACTCCCGCCCCGCCAGAGGGAAGTAGCTCATCATCATCATCATACGGTTGGAATTCTTGATCTGTCATTGAATGACATCTTATAAAGTTTTGGAGAGCCATTGAAGCAACAACGATTTGTATTTGTTTTTCCATAGGAAAGTTATGCATCTGTCGTATCATTCTCCAACGATTTTTCCAAACACCAAAAGTTCTTTCGATTGTGCATCTTAAGGAAGAATGCATGTGGTTAAGTATTTCTTTCTTCCCTCTTGGTTGACTTCCACGTCGAAAATCAGGAAGATGATATCGCTCACCCTTATATGGCCCTAAATATCCTTTGATTTGTGGATAGCCTGCATCCACTAGATAATATACACCTATAACAACAAAGAACAACATGAGCATTATATACTATATCAAAAATTAAAACATATTTGAATTGGAGAAAAAATATATGTATTTAGTTACCTGTGGGTGGATGAGGAAATTTTAAAATTGGTCTTCCTAAGGCTTCCATGAATATCCGTGCATCGTGAGCAGCACCTTCCCATCCAGCCCACACAAAAGTAAAGCACATATTAAAATCACATACAGCCATAAGGATCATCTGGCTTCCATGCTTTCAAATTGTAAGAATTAAAAAAAGTAAAAAAAGGTTAAAGGATCATCTTGAGAAATTGTGGTGGTCGCAGTGTAACATGCAACCTATAAAATACAACTTGATTTCACACTACAATCCTAAGTGCTCAAATATTTAGTATTTGAAAAACTCCGAAACGCCTAGTTGACTTAAAAAGGAGTAGAAGCCCAATAAACTCATTGATCATATTACGCAAGGAAAGCAACTATCAATCACAAGCTAATGGATATGCACCTAGTAGAGAAGGAAAGTATCAAACTATCAATCACAAGCTAATGGTCAACCATAAATTCAGGAACTTGTCAAGTTCAATTGCTGGGATTTATGAGAACACACAGAAAAGCCAAGAAATTTGGAAACAACAAGAACCAACTAACAGAACAGAAACATGAGATTTAAGCAAGACAAGTTAACGAGAATCAATGATTACCTATGTTTTTTGATGAAGCAGAAATATGACAGATGAAGGGTACTGAGGCTGAACTTCCTTGTTGACCAGACTACGCCAAAACTCCAGAACAGAAATATAACAGATGAAGAGCAGATTGTGAGAGAGAGAGAGAGAGAGAGAGAGAGAGAGAGAGAGAGAGAGAGAGAGAGAGAGAGAGAGAGAGAGAGATGGAAGGTGTTTTGACATCTGATAGGTTTTGACATTTGTTGGGCTTTTCGAGAGTAGTGTTTTGGTTCTAATAGGAGAGAAAAAAGAAGAGTATTTTGGCATTTAAAAATAATAATTAAATATGGGTATTTTTGGCATTTTTAAAGTTTCATTAAAGGGAGCCAAATGCTTCATGTGTTTTTGTCCTGCAGAGCTTTTAAGAAGAAGCACCTCTCAAGTGCTTTTTCCAAAACCACTCCAAGTGCTTTTGGATCTCACCCAAAGCGCTTTTGCAATTTTTGCCAAACACCATTTTTAAAAGACAAAAGCGCTTTCACCCATTTAGAAGTGCTTTTTGCTGCTCCAAAAGCACTCCCAAATGAGCCCTTAATCTTAGATTGATCTACTTCAATGCCTCGGTGCTTAACAATAAAACCCAGAAATTTACCTGACATGACGCAGAAAGCACACTTCAAACGGTTCATCTTGAGTTGGTATTTCCACAATCTGTTGAACACCATTCTCAGGTCTTTCAAGTGATCTTCTCTTCTTTGTGACTTGATCACCAGATCACCAACGTAGCACTCGACATTCTTGTGAAGTATGTCGCCAAAGATTTTTTGCATTGCATCTTGATAGGTCGCACTTGCATTCTTAAGACCAAATGGCATCACCTTGTAACAATAAATTCCTTTTGGAGTACGGAAGGCTGTGAGTTCTTCATTCTCTGGTGACATTTATATTTGATTGTATCCAGATGAACCTTCCATGAAAGATAAGGCTTCATGACTTGTGGTTGCATCTACCATGAGCTCAATTATGGGCAATGGAAAGTCATCCTTCGGGCAATCCTTGTTTAAATCTCGGAAGTCAACACAAATATGAATTTGTCAAGTGATCTTCTTCTTCACCGAAACAATGTTCGCGATCCACGTTGGGTATTTCACCTCCCTAATAAATCCAGCGGTGATCAACTTGTCGACTTTGGCTTCGATCCGACATAGAAGCTATGGGCAGAAGCAGTGTTGGGTTTGTTTGATTGGACGTGTTCCAGGCTTGACTACAAGGTGATGGACAACAACTTTTGGATCGAGGCCTAGCATCTCCTTATACGTCCAAGCAAAGACATCTTTATACTTAAGTAACAGTTGATGATATGATTTCTCTTCGCTAGGATTCAAAAGTGCACTAACGAAGATAGGTCTTGGATCTTCATTTGTGCCCAAGTTGAGTTCTTTTAAGGGAGTTTCACTAAAACACCCAAAATGGGGGTTGAAATAATAAAAAAACCCAAACACTATTTAAACATATAAACACACCCAAAACCCATCATTACACACACTCAAAACCCATTTATAAACACACCCAAAAAGTTGACTTTGGGGTTGATTTTGGGTGTGTTTCTATGTTTAAATAGTACTTGAGTTTTTTTATAAATACATGTCTAGGATTGGGTTTATTTATAAATTTGTATTTTTTTAATTCGTTTACAGTCGCTTACCCCCGTCTTCTAGTGCGGTAGGGCATCATGAACCTCATCCTCAAAAGGTTCCTCTTCATTGAGCTTTTTAATCGTAACGTGATGAACAACTAGGACCTCTGCTTCTTCATCATCACTTTTGTTTTGTTGACTCAAAGTTTTTCGAGTATGTATGATTGTTCGTCATTTTACTTTGAGTTGGTCACCTAAAGTTACATCTAATGTTGAGTGACGTTTCATACGTGACAGGATTAGGCTTCGAATTTCATTATCTTTTGTCGAATCAACATGAACTCTACCTTTCAACTCTCGCTGGTTTTTCTCTTCAAACGGCTTGCGTAGAACTCCAAGTATTTCTAGCGTTGATCTGCGTGGAGCTGATCAAATTCCCCTTTGGCTATTATATCCAGTTATCCTTTTGAACATAAAGGGTCGTGATGTTGATTATTTGATGAGGCTAAAAACTGAGGTACATTAGGGAGGCTTGGCTAAACAGTCAAACACTGAGGCTCTCTTAGTAGCCTTTAGTTCTTCTCCCTCTTCGACCACTTCGATACTAATGTGTTGAGCATCTTCCTTCTTTTAGGTTTCGTTAAGACCATGTGTCCTTTCCTGGTGATATCTGGATTAAGCTCTCCTAGTGAAGGAGATAAGCCAAAGTCATAACCTGCCTTTGACATGAGCTTATAGGCATTATGATCAAAACTTTCTTTAGTTCTTTTGACCGGAAAAGATTCGTGTCTTGTTGCGTCTTGTGATGGTCTGACGAACCCTGTATTGAAGGTTTCGAAATGTCTGAATTGCTCAACTTGGGCAAAGGCATGTTTGTCGACTCCTTCAAGAACTTCATATCACTTTCCCCTAATTTCCTTGATTTTACTTCTTTTCCAAATGGGGATTGTCCTTCCTTCCGTCAAGATGATGAGACATAATGAAGAACAGGAATGGACACCTTCTGTGAATCTATCAGTGATGATCCCATTTGTCCATACGAAGTGCTTTTTGACTTCTTATCGTCATTCTCTTCAGTGGAAAGACACTTTGAATGTTCATCTCTTCTTGGTATGGCCTTGCCTGTTGAGTGAACCTCAACGGGAATAACTTCAGATACCATGTCTTCATCGATGTAAAACTTGGCATCGGCAAAATGAGACTCAGCTTCAGTAAATGGTTTGACATCACCCAAGATTTTCTTCACTCCACTTTTGTAAAATTTGAAACACTGATGCAAAGTTGAAGGCACTATTCCATTTTCATGTACCCATGGCCTTCCTAAGAGAATATTGTAGGAAGTCTTGGCGTCAATCACGTGAAATAGGGTGTTTGACTTTAAATCACCTATCACGAGCTCAATTCAAGCCCATGGCTCTTTGCCCTCCTTGGTTGGAGCCTTGAATCATGAGGCGACTTCGAGACAATTCGTCCATGGTGATACCTAACTTCATCATTATGGACTTAGGCATGATGTTTACTGTTGAACCTCCATCCACGAGCATGAGACTAAGTTTCTGTTCTCGCACATACCTTGACATGAAAAGCGGACGGTTATGTGGTTTGGACCATAACAAGAGATCTTCATCAGTGAATGTGATGGAAGCACATGTCGCGCAACAAATAGCATGGTCTTCAGACTTAGGCTCTAATCTTTCAGTCGTTCTTATTTTATTTGGATGAGTATTGAGATCCGTCAACGCCTTTACCAATGCTATACGTATTACTTCAGGAAGTTGCATCACTTCTTCAATATTGAAGTGCTATGGTGAATCCTCTGCCTGTGCTTAGACTTTTTGCTCTTCATGAGTTTCAGATTTTCCTTCCAAGTTATCTTCGTCATCTACTTGATAGCAAGTTGTCGTATAAACTGTCTCGATCGGCCCTCTTACGAAGAACACTTTGGGAAAGTATTCTCCTAGCATAATTTAGCATTATTGAAATCCGTGGCCCTTGGATTAGTGGTCCACTTTCTTGGTTAGAGTCTTTCCTCAGCATTATTCTGATATTGCTCTTAGTGTTGGTGCGAGCTTCTCTTTCTCTGCTCTTTCTTTGATTGAGCATTTTGTCATAGAGGAGAATGTTTCATGCAAGACTTCCGCCAAGTAATGAGCTTCCATCCTTCATTGTCATCGAAAGGTGAGTCACCAACGAAGCCATCACCACCTCGATTGTTCGGTTCGCCCGCCACTTCTTTTGCATATAGATTAGTCAACTGGTGTATGCCCCTTTTTGATTGAAACTTTGATCTTGGCAACAATATGGGTAACGACATTGGATTAAAGGGTCCAAACACAATTGTGGCAACGTTCGCATCTGCGATTTCGTCAACGTCCAACTCAATCCTTCCTTGCCTAACTAAGTTCATAATTAGCTTCTTCAACACAAAGCACTTCTCTACTGGATGGTTGACAATTTGGTGGTACTTGCAAAACTTAGGGTCGTTAACCAGATTCATCTCCTCATGCCGCTTACATTCTGGCACCATTTTTTTTTTTTTTTTTTTTTTTTTTTTTTTTTTTTTTTTTGCAAGTCCTCAAGCATACCTATGACATTGGAGTTAGGGAGATGGTACGTTTTTCCCTCTAACTCCTTCAAGGTGCGTCGACGTCTATCCATCTCTCGGGATGGCTACATCATTTTGACTTCTCTCTTCTTATCTCGAGTGGAGATTTTGATAGGGACAGTGTTGATTGTCATTGCTTCCTTGGTAGGTTTCTTAATAGGCTTATCTGTCTTTTGCCCAAAAACTTTCTCCTTTTTTTTCTCCATAACAGGCTCATTCTTTCCTCCGTGGTTAGCTATAATTAACTCCATATTATGGGCACGAGTGGCTAGCTCTTCAAACGTGCGGGGTTTAATCCCTTATAGAATGTAAAGTAACCCCCAATGCATCCCTTGAATGCACATCTCAACTGAGGATATCTCCAAAAGCCTATCCTTGCAATCTAGGCTTAATGAGCGCCACTGATTGATGTAATCGATGAGTGCTATAAAATTTGTTCAAGAATTCTTGCTCCATTTGATCCCAACTATCGAGGGACTCGGACTCTAAGTCTATATACCAATCAAATGCATTTCCTTTTAAGGAACGAACAAATTGTTTCACCAAGTGGTCACCCTCCGTCTTAGCATTGTTGCATGTTTGGACAAAGTTTGCAAAGTGTTATTTTGGGTTGCCATTTCCATTGAATTGTTGGAATTTGGGGGGTTGATATCCCATTTGCATCCGCAGGTTGTCTATCCTCCTAGTGTATGGCTTGGAATATATGAGCGTTTCTCAAGAAAGTGCTCCGTATTGAACTCTGATGGTGTTCGGGATCATGTCATGAAGTTGTTGGACCAATAAAGAACTCACCGAGGCGGCGTCGACTTTTCCGTGCAATTTCTCACCTGACTCTGTTTCATGAACCAATCCTTTCTCGCTAGATTTAGCTTCATGATGTGGTCCCTTCTTGTGTACGTCTTAACTAGGCTCCTTATCCTAATATGCCTCCCACTTGTTAACGAGAGAAGCAATCTGCGCATCTTTCTCTTCGACCATCTTCGTCAGTTTCGTGACCACTTAGCTCATATGGGCCAGCGTTCTTCAATAGACATCGCCCATGTCACCATGACCTGCATAACCATAGAATAAGACTCATCTATGGACGCCGAGGATTTCGTGGAAATCTTCTTCTGTTGGTCATCAAATGGGGATCCATGGTATGAGCATGTGCTCGAGTCAGTGTCTGAAATAGGCGAGAGTGAACGTTTTCTTGAATTCTTTGAGCCCGAAAACTCCTTTCTTCGTTTTGAGAGTTTCTCTCATCCTCTCGGGGGGTATTCTTCTTTGCCCCAAGAAAAGTTGTGTTTGATACAAAGGTTGTAGAGACTTGATCTTGATCAAACGGGTAGCACAAGGCTTGTTTAGTGTTTGGATTTTTTTTAGGGTGGAGGAATCGGCACGTATTTGTTGTGCTCGGTGACTCTTCCAAAGTGAGGTGAAGCATACATAGAGTTTTTTGTTTCTTCTGAATGCTTGGTCTGCCTAATCCACCGAACCCTAATTATTTTCTTATCTAATAGAATTTAATCTGCCAAAATTTCTTTGTCTATAAGGACCATACTGAATAATTTGTTCCATTCAATTTGACAATTGTAGGAGCAGCAGAAGAATTATGATGAATATTGACAATTGACATAGGCTGACCAGAACCCCCTGAGGTAATTTGTGGTACCTCATTGGATTGGCACTCCCAGCCTTGTGTAAATAAAATGGGCAAAATTAACACTCTATCTTCCACTAAGAAAAATAATGGGAATACAATAATAATATCACTAAACACCGGTGGCTAAACTCTCTCTTGGTTTTTCTCTTAAGAGGATTTTCTCTCTCACACAAGTGAAGCTTTCTTATCTCTCAAAACTGTCTAAGTTTTGGTTTTCTAAGGGATGCATTGAATTGAAAAAAAAGGCAACTGCTTTTATAGCCAACATTCCTAACTAATTGGTGGCCATGCATAAGGGTGAGTTTTTCTCATTTTCTCTTCCATTCATTTTCTTCAAATTTTCCCGTCCTTTCTTTCATTTTATTTTAATATTTATTTTGCTTCTTTTTCTCTCCTCCACTAACGAGGGAAACCCATCAATCTCCCCCTCCCGACTTAGGTGGAGGGCTCCAGCAATCCAGCTGCTCTTCTGCAAAATTCGTACTTGTCCTTAGGTAAGGACTTGGTCATCATATATGAACTATTGTCATCAGTATGGATTTTCTCAAGCTGTAATTGCTTAGATTCCAACACATCACGTATCCAGTGATATCGCACATTAATGTGCTTCGACATCGAGTGAAAACTCGGATTCTTGCTCAAGTGGATCGCACTCTGACTATCACAATGCAAAATATATTTATGCTGCTCTTGCCCTAATTCTTGTAGGAATCGCTTCAACCAGAGTATTTCTTTGCACGCTTAAGTAGCTGCAATAAACTTTGCTTCTGTAGTTGATAGAGCAACACATTTCTGTAACTTTGATTGCCACGAAATTGCTCCCCCTGAAAATGTAATCAGGTATCATGAAGTAGATTTTTTGGATTCAAGATCTCCTGCCATGTCTGCATCTATATAGCCAATCAATACAGGTTTTCGGCCTCCAAAGTACAAACGCATTTTGGAAGTACCCTTGAGATATATGAGAATCCACTTCACAGCATTCCAATGCTCTATGCCTGGTTTAGACAAGAATATGCTACCAACAGCTGAGGAATATGGCACCATAGCTATGTTTTCTTTTTTCTTTCTCACATGTAGGACTCTGCTTTGAACTAAGCTTGACGTGACTAGGAAATGGAGTAGAAACTGGTTTTGCTTTATCCATGTTAAACCGCTTTAGTACCTTCTCGATATAACTTTCTTATGATAACCTCAACTTCCGATTTTTTATATCATGGGATATACTCATACCGATGATTCGTTTTGCAGGTCATAAGTCTTTCATAGCAAAAAACTTGCCCAACTCTTTCTTCAGCTTGCTAATCTTGTCACTGCTTTGTCCTATGATCAACATGTCATCGACATAGAGAAGAAGTATGATGAATTCACCATCATCAAATATTTTCACAAATACACAATGGTCTGAAGTAGTCCTCCGATATTTGTGTTCAATCATGAAGGAATCAAACTTCTTGTACCATTATCAAGGTGACTGCTTGAGTCCATATAAGCTCTTCTTTAGCTGACATACCAAATCTTCTTTTCCTTTGACTTTGAATCCTTCTGGCTACTCCATGTAGATTTCTTCTTCAAGATCTCCGTGAAGAAAAACTGTCTTCACATCTAGCTGTTCGATCTTGAGATTCAGGCTTGCAGCCAAACTGAGTACAACCTGTATGGATGACATCTTCACTACGGGTGAGAAAATCTCTTCAAAGTCAATTCCTTTCTTCTGACTGAAACCTTTCACAACTAGCCTTGCCTTAAACCTGGGCTTAGAGTTGTTTTCTTCCGTCTTCGGTCGATACACCCATTTGTTCTTGAGTGCTCTTCTACCTTTTGGTAGGTTCACCAGATCATATGTGTGGTTCTCATGCAGAGATTGCATCTCTTCATGCATGGCTTTCAACCACTCATCTTGTTGATCATGAGTTAATGCTTTTTTTATATCATTCTGGTTCTCCCCCGTCTGTTAGGAGAACGTAATCATTTGGAGAATACCTACTCGGAGGTCTCCATACCGTGGTCGATCTTCTTGGTTGGAATTCGGCCGTTGGCTCTTCTTGGGCTTGTGCTTCTAGCCCCTCATCAGCTACATCATCTACTATACCATCAGTTGTATGATCATCACTCATGTCATCATCAATTGGTTCATTTATAATAGGATCACTAGTTGGATCATCAGTATCATTGGATTCATATCGCCCATCATTGTGCTCCAATGGAGGAGGAACTGGATCCAAGTTAGCTGGATATTCTTTAGGATTATCAGGTTTATCACCTCTTCGAATGTCTTCAATGTTCTGATCTTCAAAGAAGACAACATCTCTACTTCTAATAATCTTTCTAGCTACAGGATCTCATAACCTATAACTGAATTCTTCATTCCCATATCCCACGAAGATACATTCTTTCGACTTTGCGTCGAGCTTGGATATCTCGTCTTTAGGAATATGAACAAAAACTCTACAACCAAAAACTTTCAAATGATTGTAGGAAACGTCTTTTCCCGACTAGAACTTGTTTGGGACATCACCATTCAAAGGTGCTGAAGGAGAAAGGTTGATTAGATCAACCACAGTTATCAGGGCTTCACCCCAAAAACTTTTGGGCAGCTTGGCATGAGATAACATTGTTCTTATTCTTTCAACAATTGTTCTGTTCATTCTATCAGCTATGCCATTATGCTGAGGAGTCTTCGGAACATATCGTTTATGCCTGATTCCATTAATTTTACAGTGGTTTCTAAATGCCCCCATATATTCTCCTCTGTTATCGGTGCAAATACATTTCAAGCTTCTACCAGTCTCTCGTTCAACGCTAGCATGAAACTGCTTGAAAACTTCATATACTTGATATTTTGTTCTAAGTGCGTAAGCCCATACCTTATTGGAATGATCGTCAATGAAGGTGACAAAATATCTTGCACCACCAAGAGTACTAGTGGTTATAGGACCACAAACATCAGAGTACACAACATCCAATACATTGAGCTCTATGCTGCTTTCCAGCCAAGTAATGCGTGCATGATTTTAGAGGCATGCCTTTCTTCATCCCAATTAGTGCCTCTCTTTTGGCTAGAATTTGCAGCCCTTTCTCGCTCATGTGACTGAGCCGTTTATGCCATAGCTCAATTGAGTCTTTTGCGAGAGCATTTACGTACCCATTACTGACTTTTGCATGTGTCATGTATAGGGTGTTCTCCTTCTTCCCTCGTGCTAGGACAAGAGAGTTCTTGCTGAGTTTCCATTTCCCTTCAGCAAAGACATTGGTGTATCCTTCATCGTCAAGTAAACCAGTGTAGATTAGATTGAGACGCATGTCTAGAACATGTCTCACATCCTTGAGGACCAAGTGACAACTTGTGTTGGTTTCAAGGGAAATATCTCATCTTCCCACGATCTTGGACAATTTGTCATTTCCCATCCTCACATTACCAAAATCTCCATTGGTGTAAGATGTAAAGAAGTCCCTTTGTGAGGTGACATGAAATGATGCACCATAATCCACTATCCAGCATGTATCTTGAGAGGAAAAATTAACAAAGTCATCATGACATAGAATAATTACCTCATTTCCACCAGAGGTAGTTGCGGTCGTGTGCCTGGCATCACTTTTTTCGTTACCTCTATCTTGCTCTCGTTTAAACAACCTGCACTCTCTCTTCATATGGCCTATCCCGTCACAATGGTAACATTCTAGATCCTTTCTTGTCTTGGACCTTCCTCTTGAGCCATCTCTTGACTTGCTCTTTGACTTGTCTCGCTTGTGGAATTTTCTATTGTTAGTTCTTCCACGGTACTTTGAGATGAGGGCTTTTGACTCGGCTACTACACCTTGTTCTTTCCTCCTTGCTTCTTCGTTGAACATGCTATCTTTAACTATGTCCAATGTACGAACACCTTAAGGAGCTGAATTGCTTAAGGATACTACTAGTGTATCCCAGCTATCAGGCAAAGAACTCAGTAACACTAGTGCTTGTAACTCATCATCAAGCACCATCTTCATATTCGTCAACAGGTTGATCAAACCTTGGAAGTCACTGAGATGCTCGGTAACACTTCGACCATCTCTATACTTAAGGTTTAACAACCGTTGGATAACCGAAGCTTTATTTTGAGTGGTCTTCTGCTCGTACATGGATGAAAATTTTGTACATAATTTGTATGCATCTGTCTCTTGTGCCACATGGTGGAACACACTTTGATCCACCCATTGTCGGATTTGTCCGATAGCTTTTCTATTCAGAATGCTCCATGCATCGTCTGACTTCCCTTCTGGTTTTTGTCCCAGCAATTGAAAGGGCTCATACAAATCCTTGCAGTAAAGGATGTCCTCCATTCTTGGCTTCCAAATGGAGTAATTGGATGCAGTCAATTTTAACATTGTTGCTAATGATGATGACGATGACTCCTCCATCTTAAATTACACAAGAATATAATTTTTGAGTCGAAGCCTTGATACCACTTGTTGGGAAAGATGGCGAAAAATCAAAGAGCCAATAAATAAATATGACACTCCCAAGATTTGACTTCTCCCAGCCTTGTGTAAATAATATGGGCAACATTAACACTCTATCTTCCACTAAGAAAAATAATGGGAATACAATAATAATCTCACCAAACACCGATGGCTAAACTCTCTCTTGGTTTTTCTCTCAAGAGGATTTTCTCTCTCTCACAAGTGTGGCTTTCTTATCTCTCAAAACTGTCTAAGTTTTGGTTTTCTAAGGGATGTATTGAACTGAAAAAAAAGGCAACTGCTTTTATATCCAACATTCCTAACTAATTGGTGGCCATGCATGAGGGAGAGTTTTTCTCATTTTCTCTTCCATTTGTTTTCTTCAAATTTTCCCGTCATTTCTTTCATTTTATTTTAATATTTATTTTCTTTTCTTTTCTCTCCTCCACTAACGAGTGAAACCCATCATGGTCATCTTCATTTAACAAATCCTGCATATCCCATATGGAGACAAAGAACACTGCAAGGAATTAAAAAATAATAATAGGCAAAAAGAAAAAATATGTAGCAGTAAGGGGGATCGGCTATTTTAGGGCAAATACATAACATCCCACATCGACCAACTGAGAGGGGGTGATGTGCCTTATATGTACATGCATGCCTCTATTTAGAACGAGGCCTTTTGGGAGCTCATTGGCTTCAGAGTAATAGTAATTCCGAAGTTAAGCGAGTTGGAGCTAGAGCAATCCCAGGATGGGTAACCCACTGGGAAGTTGCTCATGAGTTCCCAGAAGCAAAACCGTGAGGGTAGATAGGGGGGTCCAAATCAGACAATATCGTGCTACGGCAAAGTCGATCCTGGGATGTGACAATTTGGTATCAAAGCCACTCGCACACTCTGCCGGGTGGTGCGAGTGTGCTGATGAGGACTTTGGGCCCCTAAGGGGATGGATTGTAACATCCCACATCGACCCCTCTCGATGTACCTTATATGTACATGCCAGCCTCCATCTAAAACGTGGCCATTTGGGAGCTCACTGGCTTCTGAGTCATGAGAACTCCGAAGTTAAGCGAGTTGGGGCTTGAGCAATCCCAGGATGGGTGACTCATTGGGAAGTTGCTCTTGAGTTCCCAGAAACAAAACTGTGAGGGCAGAGAGGAGGGCCCAAAGCGGACAATATCGTGTTACGGCGGAGCCGATCCCTGGATGTGACAAAATATAACCCGGTGCTCTAATACTAAGTCAAATATAAGGATATATGGTAAATTTCAAAGATATATTTCTTCTCTCAAAGGACGTGTATACATAGTGTACAATGCCTTCTTACCCAAGGAAAAGATAAAAACTAATCCTAACATAACAGGTAATACAATATTTACAAGAATCCTTATATTAATTTCCTACCTAAAATAGGACTCACGCCAACAGACAGATGAATCAGTATGCCCTGATAAGAGATTTCCACCATTTTATTCATTTTCATTCACATCAATATTGTTCTCCACTGCTGAGTTGTTCTGCATATCATTTGCATCATGTAAACCTCCTATAGCTGTCTCATCAGGAGTATCCAAAGCATGTACTCTGGATGTTCTTCGTGTAAAAGGATGCGAAGTGAGATCTTTCTTGTCAAAATGCTTTGCCAATTCAGCCATTTTCCACCGAAATGAGTTCTCAGAATGAATGGTGGTCCTCAAAGTAGGCCACTGTGAGCAAAGGAAACGGTACATGTACATCAAAAGTGAAAACATGGAGACTATACCTGCGATGATGAAGAGTCCCCCGAAGCTGTACACGTGAAGGCTTTCACCTTCTGAAGAAACTTTGGCACTTTGATCATCACAGATGGTTTGGTTTGCGATGTACTTCTCCTCAATTGAATCCATCTTAGATTTATCTTGAGTGACATTCAAGATTGCCCTTGACATGTAAGAGACTAGAGGAGACCCTCTTGGGAAGGCCTGATGTATTAGAAGGCAAAAAAACAATTTAGCATATGGATATAGGAAGTGGAACCAATGTTGCAGCATTTTACACTCTGGTTTTTATGGATAACAATACAGTCAAAGAAAATTAAGACAGAGAACTCACAAAGCCAAATCCGTCAGTTTTGTAGGTTGGTCCAACCATGGTGTACTTGGAACAATTCTTTGCAATGAACAGTTTAAGGTAAGGGATTTCATCGAAAATTGCAGCAACTCCACCATTGTTTGTTCCTTTGGATAGTGCATGGTTATAGTCCTCAATGGTTTCATAAGCTTTCAACTTGGACTCTTCAAACCTTAAATTGTCCATTAGAAACCCTTTAATAAATGAATTCTTTTGATATCCTATATTATAACCATTCCTTTTGATCTCTCTTATATCAGTAAATACAGGCCGCAATCTCTGCACTGTTAACATTGAGGCTAAACTTGCAGTGTAACTCTGTGTCAAGATAAGAACCACAAAAACCCAAATGATGAGCACTAATCTTGACCAATTGTTCACCACTTTCTCCCCTATAGCATTACAAAAGCATTATTAATTAGACTACAAGCTTCATTGAGAATTTTAAAGAAAACAAATGCTTTGGTATAAGGAGAAGAGAACTTACTATGAGCAAAGACAAGAGTTGAAAAGGAGAACCAAAATATCACGCCAAGTTGTTGTTGTGGTGGACCTCTAAACTCAGAGTTTACCCGGTGTTCAAGAACCCATATCACAAAACCTGTAAATATGAAGGCTGCCCCAGTTGTCAGCCAAAGATCCAAACTTAACGGCTTCAAGAAAATCCAAATATTGTCTCTTTCATTATTTTCCACCAAAACTACCATTGACACTCCTGATTCTGAATAGGGCAATGTAAAATCTACATACAATGAGCGGTTAGCTACAATTGTTGTGTCTGCCACCACAGCATCATACTTCTGCATTTTAAATCACCAATTGAAAAGTACATTAGAGAAGGAGATAGAGAGAAAGAGAGGATGACCATTAATTTAACATGTAAAATAAAACTTACCCCTGCTTTGATTTGTAAAATATAACTTACCCCAGCTTTGATTTGGTAAAGAAGATCATCATATGTCCCATTGAAGTAAAAGAAGTCATGGGGAAGCGGAAATGGTAGTTTAGCCAGTGCAGCAAAGAAGACATCAGCAGCAAATCCCGTTATATTTTTGTTTTCCACTTTTAGGAATTCCTTAAAACCCCCTGTCATTGGAACTCCAATCCTCAGTTTCTTCGTTGCAGGTTGGTCTGTAGTGTCCCCTGGCCAAATTGGTTGCTTTAGTCTTCTCTTTACATCAGATTTTTCTGCTTCACTATTGTCATACTTGAGCTTCCTTGACAGCCCTTTTTGTTGGTCAATCCAATATCCAATAATCCTTTCTTTATTGCCAATCACATTGAATATCTCAAAGGTTGAAGGTTCTAACTGTCCCTTGACCAACTGGAAATTCCCACTTAGGCTTTGAAATTTTGAACTTAGGATTGTTTCAAGAATATTTTTACCCATGTTACTGGTTTCCAAGCTTGCAAGATTAATGACTCTACTTCTGTTTTGTTTCATAGAGCTAGAACTTGTTGTTCCCACTTTCTCCACCGCCATTGCCAGTGCCCAAACTGTATCATATGCCCATAATCCAAAGAGGTTTAGGCCTGCAGTCATCTTGTTTGGTTGTTTCCATCTTGAATGAAAGTCTTCAAGATCTTTTGTCATTGGGATATATGGCCTTACTCCCAACACACCTTCCATTGAATCCATGGTTGTCGAATTCACAGGATCTATAAAGGTTGATAACCCTTCGGTGACAATCCATGCATACCCTTCACTCATCATACCTGCCTTATTTGCTAGTATAAAGAATTTGGACCCAAGGGAGGCAGTCATATGCACCAGAAATATTCTTGTTGAATTTGAGTTTAACCTGCCAAGCTCCCTTTTAATTTCAGCATCATTAGAAGATGGAGGAATGACACTTCTGTAAGGTACTCGAGCACCAACCTCCTGGAAAGCGTCCACCAGATACGGAATTAAACCATTGCCATAATCGGTGTCTTCATAGACGAGAACAACTTCCAACCAGCTATAAGCTTCAATGACGGCAGCTATGGCTTTTACTTGAGCAGAGTCATCAAAGGCTGTCCGGACAAAAAATGGGCTACGAGATGGAGAAAGAGAGGGACTGGTGGCAGAGAATGAAATGATGGGAACCTTAGCCTTTCTGCCAAGCTCCATCACAAACTTTGCTTCTGCTGACCTTTGAGGTCCAATGATAGCCTGCACTTTTTCTTTCTTCATCATGTACCAGGCTGCATGAATTCCACAGACAAATGGTGAATGAATTAAATTAATTAGCTAGCTAAGATCAAAAGGCTGAGTGTATGTGTGTGTGGCCAAAAATATATAGCTGGAAGGAAGGTAGTGTCTGGTCCACCTTCAGATGCTGCAGTAACAATATCATCCGCTGAATCCCGGGTACGAAGATGAAGCCTTGTTCGATAATGAGCATGCTTAGCATAAAAATCTGAGAGTGCCATGGTCATACAGCTCTCTGCAATCGCACCAACAGAGGAATTCAAGTCCAGAACTACTCCGACTGGTATTCGTATCACCTCCTTTGCCATTGAAAGCTGGATACTCCCAAGCCCGGCCAACGAAAGAATGAAGAAGAAAGATAGAAGGTGCTTCTGGTTTGTCATCATTGTTAAACTACCTGCACTCTCACATATATGTAAATTACTGTTTTTCTCTTTGGTTTTGCCTACTCTTGTTAGCTTTAAATCTTGTGTACGATTTGTGTTCCAAGCTCATCCTTAATGTTGATTCAATTTGCATCAACAAGGGAGTTTGAGAAAATGGGCAAGCATTTGGTCAACACTCATAAATGTTGATTCAATTTGCATCAACAAATCAATACCAGTTTCCTTCTGAGTACCATTCAAGGATGAGAAAACACCCTTTTCCTAGTTT